CTGTGCATGTTTCACTACTGCATGCTGCGTTTCATTTGTATCTATATAATTAATTACTATTGATTTATGTCTATTATTGCCCTGTCTTTCTGAGTCCCTATTAATCTTTCCTATTCCTTCACACACACCCCCATCTGCCCACTAAACTCTAGTCTAGTGATTTCCATCCTTTTTTTTCCACCCCATTTTACGTTCCTCTTCTGAATATTTATACAAATCTTACTAGTTATTCTTCTATTTGTACCATAATAGTCCTATGCAATATTTGACCTAACGAGACTGAGTTAGTTCACTTAGTATAAATCTCTCTTCCGTCTCTCATGTTATATAATATTTTATAAAATCATTGCTCATTAGTGCTGCATAGTATTCCATTGCATGAATGTACCACAATTTCTCAATCCATTCATTTACTGGTGGGCATTTGGGCTCTTCCCAATTTCTTACTATTGTGAATAACACTGCTACAAACATACGTGTACATACCTCCATTCATGTGCATGTTCTAATTTCTTTGGGGTATATTCCTAGCAATGGAAGAGTTGGATCATATGGGATTTCTGTGTTCAGTTTGTTGAGAAAATGCCAAACTGCCTTCCAGAATGGTTGTACCATTTTACAATCCCACCAGCAGTGCAAGGGAGTCTCAATCTCTAGAGTTTCTTTACAAAAAGAAACGTTTGTCGTTTTTCAAAATTTATGACATCTCTGTTTTGGGAATAGAGTGGAGACTTTCTGGCTGCTTTGTGCTGAACAAGGGGATTGATATGGCGGGCGGAAGGGAAACCCACTGAAATCTTGATGATCTTGAGAAGGTGCATGATGTCATCTTGTTCAGTTATCTAGAAGACACATTCATGGTGTTTTCCGCTTTCCGTACAGCTATATGACTGCATGCCCTGTTTGTCAAGAAGGCAGAAAACATCATGAACATATCCTCTGGTGCTGGCTGAACAAGATAACATCAGAATTCATACCGCAACACACTTTCCTTGGCTTCTTAGTGTTTTCTAATTTATATATACTCTGTTTGTCCAGATGGCAGAAAACATCACGGCTGTATATTCTAGCTAAATGAGCAAGACGAAATCATGCAGCTTCTCAATATGACCAGTAAACTCTTAAAGTGGGCCCCCATCCCTCCTTCATCTCAAGGCCAGAGAGTCTCCATCCCTGTTCCCAAACTGGAGAACCCACAAATAAGAATAATATTTAAAAATATATTTTTGTAAAGAAAACTTCCTCCCTGAAAGCCAGTCCAGAACAGCTAGTCCTGGATCAGAGCAACCTCTTTTAGTTAAACCAGGTCTTAGAGATGTAAGACTGATATAAAAAAAGGGGAAGGGGAATGGTTGTGCTGTCATTATATGCCATCAAGTTGCCTGTGACTCATAGTGACCCTCTGCACAACAGCTCTGTACCTTGTCCTATCCTGAGCCCGTCTCACTGTCTCTGATACACTTAACCCCATTATCCCAATTACTGCATCAACCCATCTCATCCAGGGTCTTCCCTTGTTGTGCTGTCCTTTCCCCTTTCCAAGTATGATGTCTTTCTCCAAGGACTGGTCTTTGCAAGCAACATGCCTGAAGTATGTGAGTTGTTGTTGTTGTTGTTATGTGCCGTCGAGTCGTTTGCGACTCATAGCGACCCTATGTACAACAGCCCTAAACCGTGCTCTATCCTGTGCCAATCTCATTGCCTCTGACACACCCACCCCGATTACCCCAGTCACTGAATCAATCCACCTCATAGAGGGTCTTCCCCTCCTGCGCCATCCCTCTACTCCACCCAGCATGATGTCCCTCTCCAAAGACCTGTCTCTCCTTACGACATGTCCAAAGTATGTCAGACGAAGCCCCATAATCCTTGCCTCCAAGGAGCATCCTGGTTTAACCCTCTCTATGGTGAATCTGTTTGTTTTCTTGGCAGAGATGGAGCTTCAAAATCCTCAACTCTAAGGAGCAACTTGGTTTCACTCTCTCCAGCACAAACTTGTTTGTTCTCTTGGCAGGCCAAAGAATGTTCAATACTCTTCTCCAGTACCACAACTGAAAGGCATGAATTATTTTTCTGTCATCCTTAGACATTAGCTCTCTGATGCATAGCAAGTGTCTGAATCAGGTGCCCCTTAGTTTCCAGACTGACATCATTGCTCTTTAGCCTTCTTGGGAGGCCCTTGAAAGCAGATTTTCACAATGTCCCTAGTGCCATGACTTCTTCTAAACCCGTGTGTATTTCTGGCAGTTCTCTGTTGATCTACTCTTTCAATAATTTTTGGATAATCTTCAGCAGGATTTTGCTTGCATGTGATATTAGTTGATCATGTCCATACTCTGTTGGATCACCTTTTTTTCGGTATGGGACTAAATACAGATCTCTTCTAGTCAGTTGGCCAGGCAGCTGTCCTCCAGATCATTTGGCACAGTCTGGTGAGCACGTCCAGGGGATGATAGGGTAGCATTAGTTTCAGGATTGTTTTAAAACCAATCTCATTCCTGACAACCTTTCTTTCCAGCCTTCAAAACTGGTTGAACAGTCTAAATACTATTTGTTTTGTCCTCAGACAGTGTTTCAACTTCTGTATAGTCATATTGTTATTGTTATTATTGTTATTGTTGTTGTTATTAGGTGCCGTAGAGTCGAGTATGACTCATAGCAACTGTATGAACAACCAATCTGAACTACTGTTTATCAGAAAAGAAAACGTACTTTTCCTAAGTTAACATTTACCCTTTGAAATTGTTTGGGGGGGCTTCAGACATATATAAATGGTACCTTAAGTTATCTGTTTTCTAGCAACTGTAAAGATAGTAATGTGTTAAGTAGAGTAATATCTAACTCAAGTATAAAAGCGTCCAATAACCATCTTCAGAAGAAGAGGAAGTTTTATGGAGAAAACTCTACTCCTCCTAGATCTGCAATTTAATAATGTGCTTTGGATATTGCAGTCAGGCTGTCTTATTGATATGTGACTGTGGGAAAGCCCCACTGTGTCCACTAACATAACTACAACCTATGTGTCAGTGGAAAATTTGCATGTTACCATGATGAGCAGGGAGCTCTGGTAGCCTAATGGGAAGAAACTGCTGTAATACCAAAGGCGCCCTGTTCAAATCCACCAGCCACCCCAAGAGAGAAGGACAGGCAATCTCCTCTCATGCGATTAACTGCCTCTAAAAACCCACTGGAAGGTCAACTACAGGTCAGTTCCATCCTGATGGTACACAACAACCATAACAATGTGATGATGATGAACAGACTTTGATGGAGCTTCCAGACTCAGATAGATTAGGAATAAAAGGTTGATGGTCAACCTCCAAAACTCAGCCAATGAAAGCACTATTTATGGGTTACTGTGGTCCTTGATCCTATTCGGAATGAGGTAATCATGAGCCGGGGTGACTAACAATAACAGCCTGTGCCTGAAACATACCAAACCCATTGCGAGCCAATTGATTCTAACTTATGACAACAGCCTTTAGGGCAGAGGAGAAGAACTCCATGGGGTTTCCAGGACTGTAAATCTTTATTTACATCTAATGTAATTCCATGTAGTTAAACGGCACATCAGTGTTAAAGCTGCCACATCTTTCTTCCAAGAAGCAGAGTGGCTGGTGAGTTCGCATTTGAACAGTCAACCTTTCAGTGACCAATGGAGAGCTTAATCTCTGCACATCAATATTCCTCATGCCTGAAACATACATCGCTCCCAACACTTCAGCCTTTTACCAATTCTCAGCTTAGAGGTCAGTCCTTCCAGGAAGAGCTGTCTACACTAGTTAAGAAATGGGAGGCCAGATGCTCTGATCACTGCTTGTTATTGTATTGTGAGTCTTTCAGGAGTATAGGGACTCTCTTTTGGGACAGGGATCAAGACTTCTGGCTTCCTCATCCATCTAACATCTAACAGTGTGCTGAGGCAAGTTAATGCTTAAATATTTTAGAGAGGTGAGGGGAATGGGAGGAAGAGGGAGGAAAATAGGGGGAAGGAGGAATGGGAGAGGAAATGAGAATGATGGACCCTTTTTATCTCTTCCGTCTTTGTCTCTTAGACTTTACACTTTATCTGCCAGCACCTTTATCTCTTGTCATCTCTTGCCTTCTCTGTGTTTCTCCACCTCTAAACAGCTACATTTTCTCTCTCTGGCCGTTTCTGGGTTCAACAGATTCATCCAATCATCTGTTTCTATTCATCCCTTCCCATCCCCAGGGGAATGTGGAGCGTGCCAGGCCTGCGGGTTCTCCTTCAAGAACCACTGCTTTCTCATTTCAGAATGTCAAGGGTCTAGAGCAGAGCGGTAAGGCCAGATTTTTTTTTCCACTGCGGGCTCCTGAGTTTTTTTCCAGGGGCCGGTGCGGTGAGAACAGGGGTAATGAGAGGAACTAGAAACTTGTTGGTGGACTCAGAGGCCTCCACCGCCAAAGACAGGAATAAGAGGTGGAGAAAAAGGAGTAATGCAAGTGGGATTGGGGAAGGAAGCGAGGGGAAGTCCCAGTTGCAAACCCCCCCCACCTGCCCCCCAGTTCGCCCCACCCCGCCCCCTTACCAACCCTCGCAAACCCCCTCTCTCTCCAACCTCACCATCCCCGCCCCCCTTCCGCAGCAACCAACCCCTCCCACTCTCACTCCTCACCACCAGACCCCCCCCCCCCCCCTGGAAGCCAGAACCCTCCCAGCCCAGCCGACTACATCTGGCGGCCACCCTCCCTTGTTTCCGTTGCATCCAGACTTCCTTCAGTGGTGGCTGGAGGCTGCGCATCTGGGCTTTAAACATACAAAGGGATTGGCAGGATCAGCGGGAACTGGAGGCGGCCACGGGGCTGGAGCGCTGAGGCCACCAGACCGAGCGCCACGGAGCGGGGTCCATCAGAGCTGACCTTGCTGAGTGCGCCTTCGGAGCGCAGCGCGGTGGAGTAGGGGCCAGCCAGGCGGCGGTGGGGCCGCTCTCCCCGAGCCAGCGACCCCAGAGCAGCAGGCGAGTTCTGGGAGCGCAGTGATGGAGGAGCGAGGGGCCCGGGGCACGCTCACCGGTGCCCTGCGGGCGCTCTGCCTCCTATGCTGCCTCTTGGGCCGCGCCACCGCAGCACCCTCGCCCATCATCAAGTTTCCTGGTGATGTCGCCCCCAAAACGGACAAAGAGTTGGCTGTGGTGAGTTGTAATGCGAGCCAAGTTTAAAGAAACTCTGAAAACAGGCTCAGTGGGCACACCACACGAGAAGGGGCTTGGGTAAATAGCTTGGGGGGGGGGTGTCTTCAGCAAACTGGTCGAAGAACATCTATTGCAACGAGGGGTAGGTGGCTTTGGTAAGTGGAGGAAACTTTTGGCAAACAATGGCAACTCGAATTGCACTGCCAGGGTTGGGGGGGGGTGGATCCCGCGGAGGAGGGGACGCAGAAACCAGCAGAGGGCGGAGAATTAGCAAAGTGCTGGAAAGAACTCCGTTTACAAAGATCGGAGATTGTCCGGCACTTGGCAAAAGTGTTTACCGAAGCTTGTAAACAACTTTTGGAGACATCTGGAGATTAATTCAGCATCTTGGTAGGGCCTTTGGCTAACGACTTACGGCGGTCTCTTTTACCAGCAGAGGAGATTTTTAAACCTTGCAGCACTCTGACAAAGGAGAACCTTTGCACTCGCTAAGGGAAAACTTTGGATGCTCAGGATGAAGCAGAGTTTGACAAACAACTAGGAACCTTTGGTGAACATCTGGTCTTGAACAAAGCTCAGGAGGACTCTCTGGCCGATCACTGGGGCCAGAGGGGAGTACATGTTTTTTGCCGGCTCCAAGGACAAATTGGCCAGAAGGGTTAAAAGTTTGGCCTCTGGGCTTCAAGTCACGGAAAGGCAAAAGGTTCCTCGAACTTCTTGGGAAGGAGAGAACTGGTGGAGGGAGGAGCTGGCGCCGGAGGGCCCTGGTGCGTGGGGCGGGAGCTGGAGCGGACTGAGCCCCGCTGGGGTCGGAGAGCGGCCAGCGAACCCTCCCTCCTGGCTGGCCTGGCGCTGAGGTTCAGATGTTGTTTTGTGAGCACGCTAGGGAGCCTCTGGCCACAGCAGTGCATGAACTCCGCTGGGGGCTGGAGCAGTTGAAAGGCTTTGCTTTCTTACCCTGAAACGTCTCCCTCTGGGCCCTTCCAGGTGTTCCTTTCAGAACACAGGATGTCTCCGCTTATTGCCTGGTCTCAAGCCCCCCTGGGAACTCCTTCTCCAACCCTAACCCTACCCGATTCTCCAGCATTAAAGCCTCTACCACCCAGGAATAGGGAACTCTGGCGGACTAGCTCTAAGGAGTTGTGCTGCCAACCCAAAGGCACACAGAAAGATGGGCCATCCCCTCAGGTATGAGTCACAGCCTCTGAAAACCTACAGAGGGTCCGCTATGAGTAGATTCCACCAGCACATAACAAGGACACCAGCACCACCCTTGAATAGATGGACTGCGAGAACAATGGCAGACAACAAACTCCCCTTATTGTGGTAGTGTCCTTCCCAACTCAGGGCAACTCCATGAATATAGCGACACCATGGGATTTTCTTGGCTGACTGGGTTTGAATACATCGGTAGCTTCATGCGCCTTCAAGAGTTCAACTGTTTGGTTGACAGTCAAGCAAACCGTATGTATTACAGAGGGATCCTTTCAGGGACATGTCGCCGGCCTGGTGCTGGGATTGATGTGCTTGTTACTAAGAAGAGAGAAGTTCTAGAGCTGTGACAATTTTACCTGGGATCTGGTTAGATTGTTGTTGTTGTTGTTAAGTGCCATACAGTCGTAGACGACCCATAGCGACCCGATGAATAAAAAAGTCTTGAACACAAAACTTTCATCTTTTCTCCGAGTTCGTAGCGTTTCTGGAGGCAAGCGTTTTTGGAAGTGGATGCTACTCCTGCTTGCCTGACAGCAAATCCAAGTGTCCACTTGTCAACCAGTAGGCCTAGTGATTATGAGCAAATGGTTTAACTTTGGGGAGCCTCAACTCCTTCGTTTGCTAAAATGAGGATAACAATGGTATCTGTCTCAGGGTAGAAGAAAAGATAATCTGAGACACATCCTTACATGGGCACCTAGGATGTGGTAAGCACTCATTCACCCTTCGTTGTTTATTATTATTATTATTACTATTGCTGCTGCTGTTGTTATTATTATTATTAATTACCTTCTTCCCCCTCATCTTGTTAGCATAAATGCCATCCCTCAGCTCTTTCCCTTCAGGTCATCAGGGGACCCTTCTATAATCAGCCCCCAGACAAGGTTAGGGTTCTTGCCATAGAGCCCACACCCTGTCCCCATCCCAATACCGTACTCATCACATAGTTAACTTGACATTTATTGTGACCCCCATCAGCTTCCCTACATAAGATTTAGACCCAAGAAACCATACCGCTGGCTATCTTGTCTGCCTGTCTATCCCTAAGGTGTTGGCACACAGCAGACGGTGTTATGGAATAAATAAACGAGCCGTTTTGTCTTTGAACCTTTACCAGAACTTGCTTGACTTTGACCTCAGGTTGGCCAGAACCAGCAGCACAGCCTTAAATGGAAAAAGAACGTGGCAAGTTCAGAGTCTGAACCCAGATCTGCCTGTTTCTAGGACCAATGCACACAGTCCTAGAATCTGGTTGTAAGAAAAAGGAAGGAAATAGTATGGGCCCAGTAAGATGATGGAGGTGACATGTCTTGGTTAAGAGTCACCATTTTGAGCATGGACTCTGAAAGCATATTGGTTGATTTCAAAAATATATAGAAGTCTTGTTGCTCTGAGGCCCCTTCCAGCTCTTTTATTTGTCATCTGTTTTTCTCAGGCACATTTCTCAACCTCTTTGTTTTATTTTTCTTGCTTCCTTGCATTTCTAGAACTACTGTGAGTATTGAGTGAGCTGACTCATGCTGACTTTAGTGCCTCACTGTATGTGCTAAGGTCACTGGGTCTACAGCTGGATAACAGCTGGTGTCAGAATGCCAGCTTAGGCCTCTGCCGATGTCCTGTCTGACCTCTGGGCCTGGGCTGCAGGATGGCGACTTACAGGCTGCTGTGGTCAAAGCTGTACCGCCTTGACACGGCTTCTCCCTTTGGGGGAACACTCATGTTTTTCAGCAATACCTGAACACCTTCTATGGGTGCCCCAAGGAGAGCTGCAACCTGTTTGTGTTGAAGGACACGCTGAAGAAGATGCAGAAGTTCTTTGGGCTGCCTCAGACGGGCGAACTAGACCAGAGCACCATCGAGACCATGCGAAAGCCGCGCTGTGGCAACCCCGACGTGGCCAACTACAACTTCTTCCCCCGCAAGCCCAAGTGGGACAAAACCCAGATCACATACAGGTGCGGAGGCAGGGCCAGGGAGGCAGGGTTGAGGGGGCAGGGTTGAAGGGGCAGGGTCGAGGGGGCAAGGCCAGGGAGGTAGGGCTGCCTTGCCTGGGGCCCGTGGCTGAGGGACATGGAGTTTCCTTGACCGTCACCTGCTCATCACTCTGAGAACCCATCTCATGCAAGAGTTGAGTGTCACACTGACGTTATAGACAGTGTTCTTAGGAACTTGCATCAGATCTGGATTTGAGTTATACTGCCTGGCTGTGGAATGACTTACTTTCCAATTCTCTGAGCCTTGGCTTTAAGCCTATGGAATGTCACCTCACTCATGTTAGACCCCCTTGGAGGGGAATGAGACAATGCCCAGTCCTCCGTCATCCCCGTAATTGATTGTAGAGAGCGGTGGTGTAATCGAAAAGTGTTCAGTAATGGTTTTGTCAAAGCATATTTTCAGGGTTTACTTGGTACGATAAGCCCCATTGTAGCCTGAAAGTCCCAATAACACTTGTTTAGCATCATGTTGTTATTGTTAGGTGCCGTCGAATCAAGTACCACTCGTCGTGATCCTATGAACGACAGATCTGAACCCTGTCCTATCGTGTGCCATCCTCATCATTTCTGACACATACAAGCCCATTGCAGCAGTCACTGTGTTGAGGGTCTTCCTCTCTTTTGCTGACCCTCCACTTTTCCAAGAATGGTATCTCTCTCATCATAATAACATACAGACCTCCATAGATAGAGGTAGTTATTTATGCAAGGTGTGTCTGCCAGGAATTGAACTTGGAGCTTTCACCTTTTCTTAGGTGCCATTGAATTGATTGTGACACATTGATCCTATGTACAGTGTATTGAAAGCCTGCCTTGTCCTCGCAAGTTCTGTTATGCTTAAGCCTGTCGTTACAGTCACTATCTTGTATGATGTCTTCTTCATGCTTAGGCTTGACCCCTCATGAAAACATGCCCAGAATATGTGAGATGAGGTTTCACCACTTTTGTCTGTAAGGAACACCACAGCTACATTTCTTTCAAGACAGAGTTATTTGTTTTTCTGACAGTCATGGCATTGTGGTTGGTTGTCGTTGAGTCGAGCACGACTCATAGCAACTCTATGAACTAAAGACCTAATGCCTTTCCATAACTATCGTCATTTCACCAAGTTCATAGAGTTCCCAGAGGCATATGGTTTAGGAAGTGGATGCCACTCCTGCTTCCAAACCTGCTTTACAACTGGGAGCTCCACCAAACACTGTCCACAGTGGGAAACCATTCTGGTATTTGATACCCCAATGGTACAAGGTTCAGCATCACAGCAATACTTTTCCCCAGCTTTACAGTTCAAAGGCCATGAATTCTTGAGTCTTTCTTGTTTTTAATGAATAATAATAATTATTATTATTATTATTATTATTTATTATTATTATTTTGTGTGTACTGTCAGTTTGGGTCTGACAAGTACAGGTGGAAATTGCCCCTCTTTCTCCAGCAGAGCATCTGGTAGATTTGAATAGCGTGTCTCTGGGATTGCAGTGCAGCTTCTTGCCACTAGGCCACCAGAGCTCCCTCGAGTCTTTCTTATTCATTCATTGTTCCACTTTTGTATGCATATAGAGCAACTGAAAAATTTCATAACTTTAGTCAGACATTTCTTAGCCTTTAAACTGACACCCTTGTGCTGTAGCACTTTAAAGAGGTCCTTGACAGCACATGTACCACTGTAATACATTGTCTGATATCTTGTCTACAGCATCCACAGGTGTTTATTGTGGGTCTAAGTAAAATACAATTGTTGACAACTTCAATCTTTTCTCCATTTATCATGATGTTGCCTATTGGTATTGGTCCGGTGGTGAGGATTTGTGTTTTCTTGATGTTAAGATGTAACTCACATTGAAGACTGTGTGGTGGTGGTGGTGGTGTTATGCACCATCAAGTCCTAAACCCTGATCTAGCCTGTGACAATCCTATTGTCCCTGACACAACTCTCCCACAACCCCAGTGACTGAATTAATCCATCTCATCGCAGGTCTTCCTCTCCTGTGCCATCCTTCCACCCTCCCAAGCATGACGTCCCTTTCTAAGGACTGATCCCTTCTTGCAACATGTCTAAAGTATGTCAGGCGAAGCTACAGAATCCTTTCCTCCCAGGAGCAGCCTTGTCTCACGCTCTCTTGGATGAACCTGTTCCTTCTATTAGCAGTCCATGGTATATTGAACACTCTTCTCCAACACCACAGCTCAAAGACATCAATTCTCCTTCTATCCTCCATTCTGTAATGAGTTCACTTCACTTTCTGCTAGCAAACTTGTGTCATCTGCATAATGCAGGTTGTTGATGAGTCATCCTCCAAACTTGATGCTACACTCTTCTTCTTCTGGTCCAACTTCTCAGATTATTTGCTCAGCATACAGTTATTACTATTACTATTACTATTACTATTACTATTACTATTACTATTACTATTACTATTACATGGGTCGCTACAGAGGAAATAGAAAAGATTTGATGGTTGGTTATTGAGTTTTGGGGACTCTCCAAGCCTGAAAATTTTTTTCTATTTGACTAATACTATGACTTCCCAGTGCCCTCTCTGGCACCTCTCACCCAGCCAAAAAGGAGAGATAAAGTCTCTGAGAAAAGACCTGAAAATGCTGCCTTGACCGGGACTCCAGGGCGCCTCAGGACATTCTGGGAGAGCAGTCTCTGTTTGACTTGCACACACATCTGCTTGTACCACACCTGCAAATATTCATGGGCACTCACACGTACTCCACTCACACACTCAAGCACATACTCCACACACCCAGGGTCACTCACACGCACACCGCCATTCACCACGTTGTTCACGTGCACTCACACACGTTCTTGTGCGCACTCACACACATACATGTCTATTCACACATTTCTGTCGCCCCAGGATCATTGGCTACACACCTGACCTGGACCCTGAGACAGTGGACAATGCCTTCGCTCGTGCCTTCCAAGTCTGGAGTGATGTGACCCCACTGCGGTTTTCCCGAATCCATGATGGAGAAGCTGACATCATGATCAACTTTGGCCGCTGGGGTAGGTGGCAGAGAGACCAGCAAGGGGGTGGCGTCGGAGTAAACATAGGAAGGCAGTGTGGACAGAAGAGTCACAGGGATCCCCACTTCACCAAAGAAGACATTCAGATGGCCAACAAGCACATGAAGAAATGTTCAAAATCCCTAGCTCTAAAAGAGATGCAAATCAAAACAACTATGAGATATCATCTCACCCCAGTCAGAATAGCAAAATTTAACAGAACAGCAAGCAACAAATGCTGGCGAGGTTGTGGAGAAACTGGAACCCTTATTCACTGTTGGTGGGAATGTAAAATGGTGCAACCACTATGGAAGGCGGTATGACGCTTTCTCAAAAAGTTGCAAATAGAGATACCATTTGACCCAGCAATTCCACTACTGGGAATATATCCCAAAGAGACCATAACTCACATCCAAGCAGACATATGCACACCCATGTTTATCACAGCTCTGTTCACAATAGCAAGGAGTTGGAAACAACCCAGGTGCCCATCAACAAACGAATGGGTAGAGAAGCTGTGGTATATTCACACAATGGAATACTATGCTGCATTGAAAAACAAGGAACTCATTCAATATTATTCAAAATGGGTCAGCCTGGAGGACATTATGCTGAGTGAAATATCTCAGTCGCAAAAGGACAAATATTGCATGGTGCCACTGCTGTAAAATGGGACTGATAATCAGGGTAGGGGCAAGACTGAGAAAAACTGGATAAATTGTGTATACTGCACTGAAACAAATGAGGGACTGAATAATTTAAAAGCGATGTATGATAGGGTATTATGGTTATCACAAGAGTCCACAATTAAGATTGCATAGTGGAATGTACTTGGGGCGGTGGGAGGAGTGCGGGGGGATTGTGTACCAGGGAGGGAGTCTTTCTTTTACTTTTGAAAGAGAGGGATGAGCTGGGGGGCAGGGGAAGAGGGCTGGGCGGGGAGAGAAGTGCAGCAATGAATGAATGGAAATCCAAATTCTCTGTAAATGTTCATTAAAATTATTTAAAAAAAAGTCACAGGGATCCTAAAGAGAGCAGAGAGAAAATAGGAGGACATGTGGATGCTGAAAGCAGGAGATAGAGTAGCACAGGGATTGCAATTAGAGCCGTAAAAGCAGAACGCACAGAGTAGAGAGCCGTTCAGTTGTGGGAACGATGATACAGACATGCAGAAATAGACATGGACATGGATAATCTAATGCAGACTTACTGAAGTTAGTCCAGCATGGTCGTGACTCGACACAGACGGCTAAGTTTACATTTAAATTCATTAATGTGACATGCAATTTAAAATTCAGTTCCTCAGTCACAGGAACTGTATTTCAAGTGCCCAGTAGCCGCATGAGGCTAGTGGCCATTGAATAGGGCAGCCCAAAGCCCATTTTTGTCACTGTAGATAGTCCTATTGGATAACACTGGCAGACAGCAGGGAAATGTGTCCATTAGAAAGAACAGTGTAGACGTGACAGTAAATGACATGGGACCTGGAGTAAGGGCTAAGATGTGGGTTGGTGGTGATGGGTGAGCAGTACAGAGATGAGTGTAGGTGGCACAGGCGTATGTGTAGACCTTGAAGGTAGGTTGGTTTGGCACCGTGGCTGTTGGTGGTAGATAATGAAGGTAGATGGTGTGGACACTGATGCTACGCAAGTCACAGGGTGGTAGCAGTCAGGTTATCAAATATCTACTTCCTTCCTGTTTGCCTAATGCTGGGTCACCCAAAGGGGACAGGGGAGGGAACAGATGCCCCATGGGTTAGAGGCCTGGGGCCCTGGATTGGGCCTTGGGTGGGGGTCAAAGCTCAGGTGGAACATCTAAAAGTTGAGGTCTCGTGTGTTGCAGAGCATGGGGATGGCTACCCCTTTGATGGCAAAGACGGACTCCTGGCTCACGCCTTCGCCCCAGGCCCTGGAGTCGGGGGAGACTCTCACTTTGATGACGATGAGCTGTGGACCTTGGGAGAAGGGCAAGGTAATAACGTGGGCCTCCTCATGCCTCCTCTCAGAGTCCCCCGCATGCTGTCCTGTTACCCAGCAACCAGGACTCGGGCTTCCCTAGTAGAGCTGGGCATTGGCTTCATCTTAGATGGAACAGAGAGATGGGGAGGGGTCGCCTCTGCGTGGACCACTCGGCACCTTGGTCTCTGAAGAAAGGTCCTGAGAGGTGTATCTGATAGGCTCTGTGTCTCTCCCCCTACACCCACCGTGTCCCCTCAGTGGTCCGGGTGAAGTATGGGAACGCCGACGGGGAGTACTGCAAGTTCCCCTTCCTGTTCAGTGGCAAGGAGTACAACAGCTGCACCGACACGGGCCGCAGCGACGGCCTGCTCTGGTGTTCCACCACCTACAACTTCGACAAGGATGGGAAGTACGGCTTCTGCCCCCACGAAGGTAGGCACTCAGGGCTTGCACGTCAGACCTCCCATCCTGCCGCCTCTCCCCAGTTCTCCTCGCACTTCAGGCCTTCCCAGGATCCCCGTTCCCCTCACTCAGGAAACACGTCTTGGTTTGAGCTGTGGCTTTGTCCCTCTCACCTGGGCATTTACCTCACATTTTCATTCAATCAGTGCACTTTTTAAAAAGCGTCATCATCAGTAATAATCCCACAAATCGTAAATGTGAAATGTTAGTTATTTTTTTCCTAGCATGCATTAAAGGAGCTCCGGTGGCCTCGTGGGTAAGTGTTAACCTAAAGGCAGGCAGTTTGAAGCCACCAGTTGCTCCATAGGAGAAATATGGGCTGTTTCCTCCAGTGCAGTGTACAGCCTCTGAAAACCCTCTGAGGGGTCAACTAACTTAGAGTTGTCTAAATTAGTTACGACTTGATGGCACAGAACAACAACCTACATTGACGAGCTTACCAAAAAGCATTGGCTTGAATCAGTTCTGACTCCCAGTGACTCCAGACACAGCACAGATCTGCCCATAGCTTTCCGAGGCTGTAGAACTTTATGGAAGCACACTGCCACATCTTTCTCCCCTAGAATAGTTCTGGGTTCAGACTTCTGACCTTTTGATTAACAGCCTAGCGCCTAACTACTGTGCCACGAGGGCTTCTTAAAATGAACTTAAAACTCAACACCACGCCTGTAGCTGCTGAGTTGATTCCAGCTCATGGTGACCATTCATGAAGGTCCCAAAGCCAGTGGATCTTCGTGGGAGAAGGCTGCCAATCTCAGCTGATGACCTGCTAGCCTTTCAGTCGCTTCTGTTCTCATAAAAGCCCAAGCCCATTTGCCCTTGAAAAGCGATAGCCTTAAACACTCTGCAGAATAGTTCTATTCTGCACACGTAGGGGTTCTTATGAGTCAAAATTGTCTCCATGGTAAATTGACAGCCAGCCTTGTGCTATTAAGTAAGAGCTTCTGCCTCTTTCCTTGAACAGGTGAAAAACCAAAGCCCCACCAATTCCTAGTGACCCTTCAAATTTCCGAGACTGGCAGTCTTTCTCAATAGAATCTGCCCATCTTTCTTTTGTGGAGCTGTTGATGGATTTGAACTGCTCACCTTTTGATTGGCAACCCAACACGCAGCACACTTTGCTGGCGGATTTCCTTTAACAAGTCAGGATTTTGCCAACCAAACTATTTCCTTTATCTTGCATTTCCCAGTAGGGATCCAGGTAGAGTTAAGTCTTGTGTGAGTCAGCTCTTCTAATTGAAGCAGCCTGCCTTGATAGCAGTGGAGACAGAGCTGTGATTCATAAGTTGGAGGAGGGCTCATCGTGCCTTGGAGGTTAGCCAGCACTTGGCTTGGTCGTTAGCTATCCGATGCAAATACGCACAGCACACACGTGTTTGGGGCTCAGAGCCGAGGGGTTCTCGTTACTCAGCCCCTCCTGACTGCTGAGTCAGTGTCTGCCTCTTGCATCCTGGCTGGGGACAGGGTCTGAGAGGAAACAGGCTTCCTGGGTGGCAGAATGCAGCTGTTGGAAGGACTCAGTCAATGGTGACACTCACCTGTCCTCATCCAGGCCCTGGTTGGTCTCTTGTGTAGTGTTCTCTGTGCAGGATTGCAGAAGAGGGTCTCTTGGTTGGGGAGGGGGAAGCAATAAGACTTAGGGTCCTGATGTGGGGGCTAGGCCCCGGACTCCACTCTGGCAGTGCTGGGGTTACAGGGGCTGGTGAGGTCACCTCTGGCACTGCAGTGCGCAGATGGTCCTCGTTACGCACTTGTGGTTTTGTTTGTTGGCAATTCCAGAAATACACCATTTTATAGCTTTAGGGTGGATAAGGGGGTGACATGAGAGAGAATTCCAGAGAGATAAGCCCAGATTCAAAATCCAGTCAGAATGCCCTCTGCAGTTGGGATTCCTGCCTTGAGGACATGTGGAGTGGGTATGAAGAGAGGCCACAGCCTTTCACCTCCTTCTTCCTCTGCTCAGGGGCAGCAGGGCCATCTGGGAAAGGACCTGGGGTTGAAGGAGGATGAAAGATGAAGACTCTACTCTGTGTGTGTGTGTGTGTGTGTGTGTGAGAGAGAGAGAGAGAGAGAGAATATGAATGAGCAAGAGAGATTGACATGAGCGTGCTTTGCAGTTCTATCTAAGGACCTGGGTGGTGCACACAGTTGTGCTGTACTGATACCTGATGGGTGGGTAGTGCAAACCCACCCGGTGACCAAGGAAGAAAGGCCTGGAGATTGTTTCCCTAAAGGTCACAGCCCAAGAAACCCCATGGAACGCCCTTCCCCTCAGTAACACGTGAAGTCGCCATGAATTGGAATTGACTGCAGGCCAACAGGCTAGGGGTGGTGGTGTTTGTTTTGACAGGTTCCTTCTCTATGCCTTATCCAGCTCTTCTGCTTACATGGTCGTGGGAAGTCTTGGGGCTACATTTTTCAAAGCTTCAGTTACTCTTTCTGTCAGTGGAAGACTCAGGCATGACAACCATGGGTGATGCGTTCATTGATTCACGTAATGGGAGCATCAGCAATACAGAGTAGACCTTGGGGAGCCTCAGCTCCCCCCCCCTTTTTTTTTTGTTTCTTTGGTTGGTTTATTGCCGGCCATTAACCATTTCACTGCTGGAGGTTCAGAAGGTCTTTGGGGAGGGATTGGGTCAGACCAGAGAGCTTCCTGGAAGCTCTGATAAGTAGATTAACTACACAGTTCCGATATAGATGATGAGATAGATAGATAGATAGATAGATAGATAGATAGATAGATAGATAGATAGATAGATAGATAGAGATAGAAATGATGTAGATACAGATACACATATAGATATAGATAGATATAGATCTGTTATTGTTGTTTGGTGCTATTGAGTCATAGACAACTCATAGCGACCCTATGAACGAATGAATGGCCTGAACACTGTTCGTACATAGACTTTCCAGAGGCAAGCCATTTAGGAAGTGGATGCTGCTTCTGCTTCCAAGAGATATAGATCTATCTTAAAAAAAAACACAAACAAACAAACCTCAAAAACCTTCCTCTTGTCGAGCTGTCTCACAGTTGATCCTCCAGTGGGTTTTCAGAAGCTGCAAATCAGACAGAAGGAGATTATCTATCTTTCTACATGGAGCAGCTGGTGGATTGAAGCCACTTGCCTTTGAGTTCGCAGGGCCTTTGCCTCCCCATGAAGCCACCAGGTCTCAGGTATACCAGCCAGTGTAAACAGGGCCAAACCTGTTGAAGGTCAAGGAGTCGATTGTGATTCATGACAAGCTCCTGTGTTTCTGAATAGAACTGTGCTGCGCCTGGATTACAGTCTTACAGATCCCCAGACTTTTTCCTGGCGACCACGGAAAAAGCCTTTGCACCCTTCAGAAGCCTCCCAAACAATAAGAACAGACAGGATGGTTCAAGCCAGCAGCCCTGTGCCCACAAAGATACTCAGGTGATCTGTGGAAGTGACCTCCCTCACCTCCTTCCTCTCTCTCTCCAAAGCCCTGTTCACCATGGGTGGCAACGCAGATGGACAGCCCTGCAAGTTCCCATTCCGCTTCCAGGGGACGTCCTACGACAGCTGCACCACCGAGGGCCGTACCGATGGCTACCGCTGGTGTGGTACCACTGAGGACTACGACCGGGACAAGAAATACGGCTTCTGCCCTGAGACCGGTGGGTGTGCCCATGCTTTGCCCTCTAAGAGTCCCTTAGCACAGGATGCGAGTCAGAACAACTGATGGTCAACAACCCAGAGTCAGGCTATCAGGTGTCAGCAGCTAGTCTGGCTGAGTTGAAGATGTCCACGTGCCAGGCCCCCGACCCAGCCCTTTCTTCTATCAGCCTCTTTTTTTTTTAATTTAATTTTTTAAATTTCTATTCATTCATTGTTGCACTTTCCTCCCTGCCGACCCTCCCCCCCAGTTTGCTTTTCTCTTTGACAATTAAAAAAATATAAAATTCTTTCACTGTTATACAACACTCCACCCCCACCCCCGTAGATTTACCCCACTATGTAGATTTCATTCTGGACTCTTATCATGAGAATACCTAATCATATATACCTCTTTTTTTAAAAAAAAAAGTTTTATTAATTTTAATGAACATTTACAGAGATTTTGGATTTCCCTTCATTCATTGTTACATTTTTCTCCCTGCCCACCCTAGTTTGCTATTTTCTTTGAAAAGTAAAAGAAAAATTCCTTCATTGGTATAAAATCCCCACCGCCCCCACCCCAAGTACACTCCACTATGCAGCCTTCATTCTGGACTCTTGTCATAACCATAATCCCTTACCATATATCGCTTTTAAACTGTTTTCTCTCTCAGTATCACCCCAACCCTGATGTCAGTCCCATTCTACAAAAGTCGCACCATGCAGTATTTGTCCTTTTGTGACTGAGATATTTCACTCAGCATAATGTCCTCCAGGGTCACCCATTTTGAATAATATTGCATGAGTTCTTTATTTTTCAATGCAGCATAGTATTCCTATTAAACAGTACTCTCCCTCATCTGTTTCAATGCAGTATACATTATTTACCCTTTCTTAGTTTCCCCCCAATTTCAATGTCAGTCCTGCTTTACAACAGTGGCACTATGCAGTATTTGTCCTTTTATGACTGAGATATTTCACTCATTATTTATTAATGTCCTGCAGGGTCACCCATTTTGTATAATATTTCACTTAGCCTCCTAATGGCCCTTTTTCTCTGCTTATCTCTTTCCCTGACTTTCTTTATCCTAATCTGTTTTCTTTCAGCCTTTGTTTCTTTTGAAGGGCTGCTCCTTCCCTCCCCTTTGCCCTCCAGTATGTATTTATTGAATAATGCAGGAGAAGTGGGGCTGCTGTCCCATCCAGAGACCCCTGCTGAGGGGGTTCACTGTCAGCTCTGGCTTCTGTTGCCTCAGACCTGACACTCATTCCGATATTCATTGTCGCTGTGGAATCTGGCTGCCTGGGTTTGAATCCCACCCCTGACACCTCCCGGCAGTCTGTGCTTAGACACATTTTGCCATCTCTCTCAGCTCTGGCTTTCCCATTGGTGGACCGCTCTGATACCAGGGTCCGTGCGCTGGGTTGCGGGGTTGCCGAGATGTCTATCTAAACCCCTGGGACCCCGGACTGAGCAAACATTGTGTCAGTGTCCCCTGCTGCTGGCCTGGGAGCCCTCGCTGCTTCCTGACCCGTGTTCCTAACCCCGCAGCCATGTCAACCGTCGGTGGGAATTCCGAAGGCGCCCCCTGTGTCTTCCCCTTCACCTTCCTGGGCAACAAGCACGAGAGCTGCACCAGCGCAGGCCGCAGTGATGGGAAGCTGTGGTGCGCCACGACGAGCAATTATGACGATGACCGCAAGTGGGGTTTCTGCCCCGACCAAGGTACAGACTCCTTACCTCACCCCTCCCTGCCTGAGGCCCCACCAAAGTGCAGGTATCACTCCTAGACGCCCCCCCACCCTGGTGAGGAACCACCTTGGGTGAAGATAGTCCGTTCCTGACAGAGACACAACTCTCACTGTCCCCTGAACCACCCCTAAACCGGCATCGAACCACTACCCACTCTAGGTGGAGGCCAGGTATGCGCTTCGGCCTCACCCCCTTGAGCAGAGATCTCAGCTCCAAAATAAAATCCCACTCACCCCCAGGATCCTGTATTGACTGCAAAGCAGCAATCCTAAAAAAGAGCCTACTTTCTCTCAAGCTCAAGGCTGCCTTCCTCCTCAGCCATACTCCCACACAGGATAGTTGCTACTTAAAAACTACTTGAATTCTGGGTACACGTAACCCTGCACCAGAACAATGATGATCCCAGAGCCGTTCTCTCTCTGAGGAGCCTTCCAGGAGCAGGGCGCTGGTCTACCAGGATGCCTTCTTGATCGTGCCAACAGGAGAACCCCCTGAGCCTTGTCCAGTCCCAGCAGCAATGTCCTCTGTCATGTCGTGGGCAGCGAGTCGTTAGGGCTGCGTGCTGACGACATAGTGGCTGGGATAGAGGGTTCGCTCTTTGCTCTCCAGGGCAGAGTAGCCAGGAGACAGTCGTGACTCGACCGCACGATCTGTGATCTTTTAAGCAAGGCCCTGGGGCACTGTGCCTTCCTGGGACTGTGGGGCTCAGGTCATTTGCTCAGAGCTCCCTGATGACCTAACATGGCCCAAGTAAGAGGGCTGGGCCAGCTCCTGCCACATTAGATTGTTTGCCCCTTTATATTGTTTTTACTCCAAATCAGAGAATTTGCAGAATGCCAACAGGACATGAGGCTGGGAGGGGTGGAGTGTTGGCGAAGGAAAGGAAGACCCTTAACCAGGTGTATTGACATGGTAACTGCTGCAGGGAACTCTTGTGTATCAGGAAGTGTTAGGATGGTGCAGGAGAGAACAGAGTTTAGATATTTTGTTCATACAGTCGCTAGGAGTTGTACTCGACTCGTCAGCACCTAACAACACCACCATCAGCAGTCTAGACGCATGCTTCTTACTCCTCCTTGAGGGCTCTGCTAGGACGTATCTTGACTTTATCTGCACTGCACCAATCTCCTGGGTAAGGAGATTCTTCACCTTTGAGAACAGAGTGAGGCTCCCGAGCTGCTGGTGGGGTGATGTAGGCACCCCGCTGCCTGGGACCAAGGCAGGTAACCACTCTAAGTAAGAGGAGTGTTTGCTCGTTTACCTGGAGCACAAACGGTGGCCCTGGGGAGGTGGCTTACTGCTGTTCTCTTACCTCTTTGGCACTCTGAGAAATAGATTTTGTCCCTGGTCTTGGTAGAGAAACACTGAAAGCCAGCAAGTTCATTTTTTTTAAACATAATTAGAAAACAAACAGATTCATCCTGGAGAGGGTTAAACCAAGCTACTCCTTGGAGGCAAGGATTCTGGGGCTTCGTCTGACATACTTTGGACATGTTGCAATGAGGGACAGATCCTTGGAGAGGGACATCATGCTTGGGAGTGTGGAGGGACAGGGCAGGAGGGGAAGACCCTCTCTATGAGGTGGATTGATTCAGTGACTGGGGTAATCAGAATGGGTGTGTCAGAGGCAGTGCGATTAGCACAGGAGAGAGCAGGGTTTAGGGCTGCTGTAAAAGACTCGACACATAACAAGAACAACAACAATTATAAAAAGATGTATAACACAACATTTGCAAATTCAGTGTTTTTCTGGGATCTTAGTGATGTCAGTTCCCTGAATCACCTTGTGTTACCCCTACACTTAGTCAATGGCAAATTTCCCATCACCGTAAATAAAGTCCCTGCTGGCAGCTCAATTGTAGCAAATGGGAAAAGGGCCCCAGGCACTTTGGCTGACCCTGCTTGAGGGGAGCATCAGTCCTGGTCTGTTCACTCCAGAATTCTCTGGAGAAGGAAGGTGCATTAGGTCAAGTCCAAGGCCCTCGGCCTCACCGTGGCAATACCTTCAACAGTGGGGCCATGTCTTCATACTTCTGTCATGTTCCCTCATCTTTCTCCCTTCATCAGGATACAGCCTGTTCCTCGTGGCAGCCCACGAGTTTGGCCATGCCATGGGGCTGGAGCACTCAGAGGACCCCGGAGCCCTGATGGCACCCATTTACACTTACACCAAGAACTTCCGCCTGTCCCACGATGACGTCAAGGGCATTCAAGACCTCTATGGTAAGCCTGAGCTTGGGGCCTCTGCTGTCTGGTCAAAGGCCCATGGAATGGGAACCAGCCAGGTCCCACCAATTGGGACTGAAAGAGACCAGAGCAGGAACAAGAGCACTGGCCTGCTCTGAGTTTGGGGAGTGTCCAGACTCCTGGAGTAGCCGCCTTCCTTTCCTCTCAACAACAACAACAACATCTGTGTTCTCAGCTTCCAAAGTCACTCTGAGGGCAGGCGGGGCAGAAACAGTCTCCATGTTCCAGGGAGTAGTAACTCAGGCCTGAGAAGGATGATCTTTATGGCTGCAGGGCACACAAGTTGAAGTGACTAAGTTGAGTTTAGAATACAGGAGGGTTAGGAAGTGCAGGGCACAACAGTCCGAGGTGGAAGGGCCTCCCAGATAGATAATATTAATAAAACCTGGGTGAATGCTTGCAGCTTCCACAATTGTGCTTTTATTTTAATATTAATGATTATCTAATATTAATATTAATGATAATATTGTATTTTAATGAGTAATAGAAACTATATTATTAGTACCATGAGATCATGACTGATAGTCTATTAATGTTTATAATGGGGCTTAAGTTTTAAAAGTACATTCATACATGTGTGTGGTAAAACGTGTGAGAGCTGGAACCCGACGAGACTGCTTTGTTTTTCTGCATCTTGTAAGTTTTCTGCCTTTGAAAGGGTACAATGTCACTGCCTTTCTGACATTCTGGGCTAGTGGAAAATATTTTTGTTTTCTTCCTGGCAATTTCTACCTTACGTAAATTCTGGCTTTTAAAAATTTTTGGTTTTGTGTGCCATCAAGTTGCCTAAGAGTCATAGAGAGCCTATGTACAACAACTCTGCTCTGTCCTGACCAATCTCACTGTCTGACACACCCACCTCACTACCCCAGTTATTGTGTCAATCCATCTCATCTGGGGTCATCCTATCCTGTGCTGTCCCTCCACCCTTCCAAGCATGTTATCTTCCTTCAAAGACTGGTCCCTCCTGGCTATATACCCAGAGTATGTGAAACAGAGTCTCAAAATTCTTGCCTCCAAGGGGCAGCTTGGTTTTACCCTCTCCAGGAAAAACTTGTTAGTTCTCTTGGCAGTCAGCGGCATGTTCGGTACTCTTCTCCAGCACCACAACTCAAAGGCATCAATTTTTCTTTTGTCCAGCTCTCTGATGCATAGCGAGTAATTGGGAAGACCATAGCCTGGATCAGGCACACCTTAGTCTTTAGATTGATATCCTTGCTCTTCAGCACTGTGAAGAGGTCATCTAATAAATAAATAAATAAATAGATAGATAGATATACACTGATGTGTCAAATGCATTAATGGTTAATAAATGCATAAATGCAGACAGAGTGGGGTGGAGCTCCCTGATTAAAACAAGCTTGGAAGGAGGAGTGGCATCCACTTCCGTAATTGCTTGCCTCCAGAAACCCTATGAACCTGGAGAGAGGATGAGCTATGAGTCGCCTGTGACTCGATGGCACTTAACAACAGCAACAACAACAACATGTAGATAAACATATACATATACACATACACATACATATATATATAGATGTCTGTATGGAGATTTGGTGGCACACTGGTTAAGCACTTGGTTACTAAACTAAAGGTTGGCGTTTTGAACCCACCAGCCATTCCACAGGAGAAAGAGCAATTTGCCTCTGTAAAGATTTATTGTTGTTGTTATGTGCTGTAGAGTCAGATGTGACTCATAGTTGACCCTCCAGCAGGTTTTCGGAGGAAGTTAAATGCACAGGAAGAGATTGTCCATCTTTTTTCTTGTGGAGCTGCTGGTGGATTTGAACCACATGCCTTTGAGTTGGCAGCACAACTCCTTACCACTTGGCCACCAGAGCTCTCTCTCTGTAAAGATGTACAGTCTTGGAAAATCTAGGGGACAATTCTGTGTTGTCCTATGGGATCATGTAAGTGAGAACTGACCAGACAGCAATGGGCATAATAGGTGTATGTATATAATGGTTGTACCTGTAGTTTCGCGGGAGAAGAATGGGCAGTCTCATGCCATGTGATTAACTGCCTCTGAAAACCCTCTGGAGGGTCATCTATGGGTCACTTCCAACTCTGCGGTACAGAACAATGACAACAGCCTGTAGATCAGGCCAAAATCGTAACAGTGGCACTTGGTGATGAACTTGGAGAACAATGGACTTGGGAAAGAACCTGTAAACTGGAATGAGAGGCTCCTAGAAGCTCCAGGTTCAAGGGCTTCCACCACCACTCACCAGTTGTGAGAGCTTGGGCAGGTCTTTATCTCTCCAGACTCAGATTTCTTATCTCCAGAATGTAGCTGTGTTTGGTGAGGAGTAAAGGTTCATCCTCAAGACATTGTTGAACTCCTGGGGCCTGTTGCACGAGTGTTCCCATGATGCCCTTGTGGGCAAAAGAACCTGAGCTTTGGCTAGCAATCCCTGGACAAGCCTGTTGATCTGTGTCCACACACGTAAAACGGGAGGGGTGATGGTGCTCACACTTCAGGGATGTCGAAAGGGCTGATTTGGGAGCAATTTGCATTCAGAGACCACTTAGTATTCTGACCTGATCTAGAGTTATAGTGTACTGCTGAGTGGAAACTGGCCCATAGCTGACCCTCCAGTGAGTTTTCAGAGGCAACAGATTGCAAAGGAGTTGATTCAGGCTACGTACCTTTGTGTTGGCAGTGCAATTCCTTACCACTAAGCCATCAGATCTCCCTACAGATACAACCACTATATAAAGCCAGCGGTTTATGCTGAGGACCATAGAATTGTGATTTCTGCACTCTCCTCTGCACACGTCCAGCCTTCTTTCTGTTTTATCTGTGCTCGCTCTCAGGCCAGAATGTGATTTCTTCTGACTCTTAGTAGGTTGGGTGAGAAGGTTTGGGAGACCTCCCCGTGGTAGAGAGGCACCCTAGAGCTGGGAGAGCCTGAGATTGTGTGTGTCATTTCCCAGGAGGCAACCCAGACACTGGCACTGGCACCGGCCCCACCCCCACACTGGGACCTGTCACTCCTGAGATCTGCAAACAGGACATTGTCTTTGATGGCATTGCTCAGATCCGAGGGGAGATCTTCTTCTTCAAGGACCGGTGAGTGTGTTTTCGTTGACCTCTGTCCCTGAATTCATTATTTGTGAGCATTCAGTCTTTGAAAGGAGCTCCACAGGAACCTCTTTAGGATGGCCTTGTATTACTTGTTGTTTATCAAACCACCTCAGTGTCTTAAACAACAGAGTTTGTTTTGCTTCTTTATAGTCTGTGGGTCTACGAGGGTGTCTGCTTTGGGCTTCAGTTTGAAGTCAGTTCTGTGCGTGTCATTCATTCTTCTGGATTGATGGGTATGTTTTGCAGATAGAGGGCAGGAGAGTCACACAACACACTTAAGACCTCCGCTCACATCATGCTTGAGAATATTCCATTGGCAGAAGCAAATCATATGGCCAAACCTGACATTTCTCCAAAGAACGGTACTGCCAAACCACATGGATATATGATTCTAAAATAGTGCTTCAAACGGGAGCAATAGTCCGGTTTGAAGGACAGACGTTCTTTGAGATAGTTTCAATCTCAAATGACTGAGTTGCTCCCGGTACGGAATGATCAGAGGAGAAGTGAATCCATGGTATCCGTGCCAAAGGCACAGTTATAACCAAGGACCAAGACTCAGCGTGCTGGGACTCAGAGCCCCCAGATAATAGCGTGGACAGTCTGGAAGCTTTTCAAGTGCTTCCCACTGTCCCATCGGAGATCCTACTTGCTTTTCATTGCTTCCTTTCCTCATGTGACAATGTGCCTACATACTCATTTCTATGTTATTAGGTTATTGTGAGGACTCGGTGAATTTAGTGCTTAGAGTAATATCTGAACATAGAAGAAATGTCCAACCGTATTAGCATTATTACTGACACGTAGTTTTAAGGAGCTCTGGAGGCCTAGTGTGTTATGTTTTGGGCTGCTAACCAAAAGGAAGGCAGTTCAAATCCACGAGCTGCTCCTCAGGAGAGAAATGGACAGTGTCCCCTCATAAAGATTCACGGCCTCTGAAGCCTGGTGGAGAGTCGCTGCGAGCTGCAATACACCCAGTGGAAGTGGGCTTGGTGTTTGGGTTTGGTGCCAAAACTATTTGCATTTAAGAGCTTGATATTGGATAATGACAGGGATTTGCCTAATGCTTAGACCATTGTTTCTCAGAGAGAGGGCCTTGTAACAGCTGGACCAGAATCACATGGAGTGTGAGTGTTGAAAGTGTGGCTTCTGCCCCATCCCCATTCAGGTCACCTCTAGGTGGGCTCCAGGAACCTGCATGTTAGCAAACGACCCAAGTGGGTCTGAAGGACACCAACATTTGAGTGTCTCAAGTCTGGTTTGAGAAACAGACGTGATTGTAGAGGCATTAGCAAATGATTTTGTGGGCATATTGGGAAGAGGGATAAATTGTCTACTGTGAATTAAGTGCAGACGAAATAACACTTAAAATAGTGAGGGATGCAATGGGGGTGACACGTTGGAAGGGTGACTGGGGAACTTTATACAAGCAAAGGCATAGAGATATGAAAATTCATGGCTTGTATAGAAGGGAATAGAGGACCTCGAAGGTGGTCCACAACCTTCCGACAGGAGCTTCTCTACTCTGAACACTTGCTAGGGGCTGGAGTGTGCATGACCTGCACTTTTGAGGGTTTGCAGGCCAGTAAGAGAGACAGCAAGAGTATAGACAGAGATGGGGCTCAAAAAGGTAATGAGAAGCCAGGTACCATCTGAACTTTGACTCTAAGCCAGCACTGAAGAGACATCAGCGCTGTCCAGCATCCCCAGTATAGTGTTCCAGGGGATGCTGATGCTGCTAGTCTGAGGACCACAATTTGAGAACCAATGGCTGTGTTTGTATCTACTCCTAGAACAAGGATGGGGTCGCCAGAGGGAGGAGCGGATTATTAAATGTGGAAGCTCTGTGAGAAAGGACAATGGGAAGAGAAGATGCTGGCTTAGGTCACCAAGCATGATGTCATCATTTATTGTGACAATTACATGATACGAGACACTCACAGGTCTTGCCAAATCATAGGCTCTTGGTCCATAACACATAGAGGAATGTATTCATAGCTACGCTTCCAGCGGGTTTCCAGAGGCAACAAACGACACAGGAGAGGATTGCTCATCTTTCTCCCATAGCGCATCTGGTGGGTTTGAACTACATGCCTTTGAGTTGACAGTGAAATTCCTTACCACTAGGTCACCAGAACTCGCCTACATAGCACATAACTCCTCATGCACTTGTCAAGCAGAATGAATACACTCCATTCAGGAAGTGTTCCATGGAGCACCACTCTGGTGGCCTCGTGGGTAAAGAGTTGCACTGCCAACCCAAAGACATGCGGTTCAAATCCATCAGCTGCTCTGTGGAGAAAGATGGACAGTCTCTTCCTGTGTGATTAACAGCCTCTGAAAATGCACTGGATGGTCAGCTATGAGTCACTTCTGACTTGACAGACCAGTGCCTGTCTCAAGTGGTTTCTAATATGGTAGAAGAGATAAGGCTGCTTTTTAGAAAAAGCACAAATTATGGTTGTAGGCAATCAGTGATTTTTTTTTTTTGAGAGTCTCCAAGGTAGAATAGCACAGTGTGGACAGAGGTGGTCAGGGTTTCCTGGAGGAGATAGGAGAACAAGGGAGCTGCTTCTTAGCCCTGGAATCTTGCAGAGAACCCTGTTTTTCCTGGCATCCTTCCCTCTTTGACCTTCCCTCTCCCAGGGAAACAGGTGCTTCTGGGTGGCCTGAGGAGGTACACGTGGGTTAGAGCAGTAGAGGGACTAAAGGTGTGTCATTGCCTGCGTACCTTTCCCCCACCCCCAGGTTCATCTGGCGAACGGTGACACCACACGAAAAGCCCATGGGACCCCTCCTGGTGGCCACATTCTGGCCTGAAGTTCCAGAAAAGATTGACGCTGTGTATGAGGCTCCCCAAGAAGAGAAGGCTGTGTTCTTTGCAGGTGCTTGGAGGGGTCCTGCCTTGGCCTGAAGCACCCCCAGGCTCTGAACCAGGCCTCCTCTCTCCTGAGCCTTAAACCTTGTTTCCTCTGCTCTTTCAACCCTCCTTCCCAACACATGTGATTGGTCAGAGCACTACCATCAAAGAGGGAAATGCCCACATAGCAAATGCCTCATTTCCTTTTTTGTTCTTTCTCAGCCCTCCAACTCCTTGTCTGGGGAAAAAGTTTAGTTTAGTGTCCAGGTTTCACTAACCTTTCTAATGTGACGGCCTTAAGCTTTAGTTAGAAGGTTGTTTTGGAAAAAAAAAAGAAGGTTATTTTGTCTTCAGTTATTACATTTTTCATTTTAAAAATAGAATTGTAGTTGAGAGCTTCAAAAATGAATTTGTTGAAAGCATAATATTAAGTGAACCACAGTATGAGAAGAATCTACAAGTGATAAGAATCATCAGGGTAGTATTCATTGTGGAACCTGGAGGTAGGGGCGGGTATAATAATTTGCTTTGGCATGCTAACCCAAAGGCTGGAAGTTCAAATCCGTCTGGGGTTGGTAAACTCTTGCTGTTAAGATCCTAGCCGAACAAAGCCCCATAAAGCAGTTCTGCTCTTTAACTCATGGGGCCCCATGAGTTGGAGACTACCTTGAGGGTGACCCTAAGTGTTCATATCGCTCAAGTTTGGGGAGCACTGCTCATGCAGCATTCATTTATGTGGACGTCTGTGCCAGACACTGGGTAGTCCCTGTGCTGATGGAGCTCACAGACCCATGGAGCAAGGCCAAAGGGAAGTGCAGGAAAGGGTGGGCTGAGAGGAACCCTGCTCTGGTCTTAGTGAGGCACAGAGAAGGCTTTCTGAAGGTGCTGAAGGCACAGCCAAGATTGATGGTCCGTGTGTTTCTACCCAGGCAGCTCCTTATTTCCCTATCCTTTCTTCCTCTCTTCTCTGGGACCTCAGTCCTCATCTCGGAGTGACCATGAACCCTAGCTAGAAGAGCTACTAGCCCCCGAGGTATCTTTGTGACTATTAAGAAGAGGCCCCTCCTCCTGGCAAACCCAGCCTGCCAAACTTGGTCAACGAAGCGTGGGCAGGTCATCTGCTCCTTCCTCATCTCCTAGGCTGGCACCTTCTCTACCCACATATAGAACAACACACCTGAGTCCTGGCTGGGGGTGTTGCATTTAATACCCTGAATAAGAAATAGCAGAGAGAGAAGCAGCTTAGGTTTTCCTGGGAATGGTTGCAGCGGGGTCCCCGACAGTCAGATGCTGGGAGGAACAAGTGGGCCTGGAAGCTCAGTGAGTTACCAACACAACGTGCCCCTTTGCTTTCACCCTAGGGAATGAGTACTGGGTCTATTCAGCTAGCACCCTGGAGCGTGGGTACCCGAAGCCACTGACCAGCCTGGGGCTGCCCCCTGATGTCCAGCGAGTGGATGCTGCCTTTAACTGGAGCAAGAACAAGAAGACATACATCTTTGCTGGGGACAAGTTCTGGAGGTGAGTGCTGTGTGGGGACAGACTTGGTATCTCTTGGGTCAAGTTCATGGATACTCTTCCACTGGCCTCCAACTTGCCAGGGCTAAAACCCCTTTGAGGGTGGCCCAGCTGTGTGCATCATGCTACGTCAGGTCTGGTCAGCATCTCTTCTTCTTTAGCCAGAGTCTTTTGCTTGTGCCTATATCTGTCCTAGAGCCTTCCCTTGTAGGGGGACTCCCTAAAGACAGGTGAGCCTGATCCAAGCCACGCTCTTTTCAGTTACTTGCTATGCATCTGAAAGTTGGGCAATGACTTAAAAGACAGAAGAAGAACCGATACTTCTGAGTTGTCATGATGGCAAAATGAACAGAATATCTCACGGGCTGCCAAGATATCAAACAGGTCTGTTTTGGAGAAAGTGAAACCAGGGTGCTCCTTGGAGGCAAGGATAGTGAAACTCCATCTCACATACTTCGGTCATGTTAGGAGTGGTCAGCCATTGAAGAAGGACATTCTGCTTGGAAAAATAGAGTCAGCACAAGAGAGGAAGACCTGAGAAGATTGATGGACATAGTGACTGTTAACGATGATTTGAGTGAGCTGGAGATGTGAGGTCGGCACAGGCTGGGAAAGGATTCAGATCCATTACACATAGGGTCTCTAGGAGGCTCAATTGACTCGACAGCATATAACAACAACACTAAAGAAAAGAAAAAAAAAACAGGAAGAGTCACCATTGACTTGGTTCTAACTTATGTCAGCCCCGTGTGTATTAGCGTAACGATACTCCTCAGGCTTCCAGTGGTTGATTTTTCTGAAGTAGATCCACAGTTCCTTTCACTGGGTACCTCTGGGTGGACTTGAATCTCCCGCCTATTGTAATTTTGTAAAGTAATTGGTTAGCTGTCAAGAATGTTAACAACTTATACCACCTAGGGACACCCTCACTGAAGAAGAGAGTGGTAAAAAAAAAAAATAAATCAAGCTATTTGTTGTTTGGCATGCTAAGTGCCACACACTATTCCAAGAGCTCTGTGGGTTTTCCCATCCTTGCTCCCATATTATAGTGAAGAAACTTCAGATTACCCAGGGGGCTGGCAGGTTGCAGTCTAGCCTCCCGAGATCTTGTCAATCCTTACCTTTCTCTCCCGTACCCGAGATAGTTGGACTTCAAGAAATGGGGTTGTGGAGGCTTGGATGCCAGAGAGTGAATACGATTGAGACTTCTAGCCAGGTGTCCCAGCAGACCACAAGCTCAAATCAGGCCCCTGGAAGCACAGCCACTGAGTCGCATGTCAGCTGTGTGTGCCACTGATCCCAAGGCTGTGCGTACAGACTGCAGAAGGGTGGATTAGAAGCAGGCAGCCTTCTCAGCTCCAGGTCTTCAAAAGCAGAGGGGGTGGGGAGTAAGCGGAGAGGGGGAGGGGGATGGTGGTCTAGTTCCGAGAGGCCATAGTCATAGTTAAGGGGTCAGAACACCCAATGTCTAGAAATGGTCAGTAGGAAGAAGCCTAAGCTGCAGGTGTTAGATAGCAGTTAGCAGTGTTCTCCAGTTTTCTAGATGAACCCGAGGTTCCAAGATTAATTTTAGACAAGTTAAATAAATTTTTTTAAGGTAAATAATTTTTAACTCAAAATAATTTTAGATAAATTAATTTAAAATTATGAAATAATTTTAAGTTAAAATATCAAAGGATTCATCATTTGTTTAAATATTATTTTTGTGTGTGTGCGTACCATCAAATCAGATCTGACTGGTACAGGAGATTGTCCCTCCTTCTCCAGCAGAGCATCTGGTGGGTTTGAACTGCAAACCTCTGGGAGTGCAGTGCTGCCTCTTTTCACTAGGCCACCAGAGCTCGCCAGGATTCATCATTTTAAGTTAAAATAATTTTAAATTTATTTTAGTCCAGGACCACAATTCATTTTACACAAATTAGATGGCTTGTTTAAAATGATACTGTGTGTTGTCACAAAGTCTATAAATGCGCCTGTCTTGTATACACTGCCTCCCTCCACCCTCGGGGTGGCTGCTCCATGGGAAAGGGGTCATGAGTGCAATGCATTTTTGGGGGGTGGCTCTACCTCCCACTTCCGTTTTAGAGTGGCCACTGCCTCTGGATACTCATCGCCACCAGTTCCTCAGACCTTTGTCTGTCACCCCTAAAGTATCTCCATTTCCTTCCGAAGGCCTCTCTCACTCCCCTGTCTCCCCTCTCCCACACCGGCCAGCCCTCAGCTGCCTTGTCCTGAGAACCTGTTTACATGTGAGCCTGCCTGTCTCAGGGTGGAATTCCAGACACATGGCTAAGACGCTTACAAGCAGACGCTGATTGAGATCTCCAGCCTCAAGAAAAAACAGTCGGCCAGGAAACCATGGAGTGGGCTTTCCCCCCACAGGTTCTGGAAATTTCTCAAGCACGCAACACATTACAAATGGAATTCCAGCACCATAAGCACTGAGTCTCCGAATCTTTCGTCATGGACTGAGAACCACAAATGCTTGAACTTGGAATCGTAACAGCCTCATACTTCAGATTCTGAACCATTCATATTATTGACCTTTAAGGTCCCATAAGATATCTGCATACATGTCCATGTGAATTTGAACACACACACACACACACACTGTGACATTCGGGCTATGCCTTATTGTGCTTCTGGGCGTTTCTACAACAAGCCCAATCCTCAAAGGTCAAAGACAGCTTAGTCTACACCAGAATCTTACTGAGACCTCCTTCAATGGTGCAGGTCTGCAGGACCTATGGGAGGTTCACGGCCCGGCTCCCAAAGAAGAAAGATATCCCTCCCAGATAAAATGGTTCATGAACTTGAGAAGTGAGCCCTGCTGTGGTGTCTGTCCACAGGATTCTCTGGGTGGTGCAAACGAGTAACTCACTTGGCTGACAATTGAAAGGTTAGAGGTTCAGACCTACTCAGTGACCCCCCAGAAGAAAGGCTGGTGATTGATTGCCACAGTCCCATCCACTGAAAACTCTATGGGACATGCTTTTATACCATGATCAGTTTGACAGCGACTGAAGTCATGTTGACACAACAGTTTTGTGCTTGGCTACAGACAGAAAGGCTGACAGATTGAAATCATCGTGCAGCTCCGTGGGAGAGAGACCTGATTAGTCCGGCTTAGGAACCCCTACGGGGCACTTTTACTCTATCACGTGGGGTTGCTATGAGTCAGAATTCAGACAGAACCTAACAAGAATAACAGTGAGTTCAAGGCGTCCTTGCTGAGAGAGAGAGCATTCCGGAATGATTGAAGATAAACCTCCAGCCTGGGTGTCTCACTACTCCGGAAGTTCCAGCCCCTGCTTTTGGAAGCTTCTAGTAATCCAATAGAACACCTGTGTTCTGGGTCCTTGGCTTCGTGCTGGGGAGATAGTGGTCTCAGAGTCGTTATTTCCTGCCTACAGGGGGCTTCTGATAGTATGATGGATAGTGATGAAGCCAAATTGGAAGAGAATAATAGCAGCTGCCTTTGAGCAGATCTTGACCTCATCGCAAGCCTAAAGTTGTGTTGCTGTTATTGTTAGGTGCCATCAGGGACCCTTTGAACAACAGATATGAAACGTGCCATTCTCACCATGCTGTGCCTTCTTCACCATCTCTGATACACTTGAGCCCACTGTTATAGTCACTGTGTCAATCTTGTCTTATCGAGGGTCTTTATCCTTTTCACTGACCCTCCACCTTTCCATGATGTCCTTTTCCACAGACTGACCCCTCCTCATGACATGCCTAAAATCTATGAGATGAAGTTTCCTTCTTTTGCCTCAAGGAGCGCCCTGGTTGTACCTTTTCCAAGATGTATTTGGTTGTTTTTTAGGGTTTTTTTGGCAATCCCTGAAATACTCAGTACTCTTATCCAAGACCATAATCCAAAGACATTGATTCTTTGTCATCCTGGTTCATTTTCCAATTTTCACGTGCATAAGAAGTAATTGAAAATACCGAATTTGTATTAGTTGACATTGTTGCTCTTAAATACTTTGAAGAGAGGTCGTTAACAAAACATTTCTCCAACGCAAAGTGTCTTTTGATTTCTTGAATGTCTTTTGATTTCATGGTTGTTGATTGTGGATCCAAGTAAGTTGAAATTGCTGACAACGTCAAGCTTTTCTCCATCTCTCATGGTATTGCCTAATGGGCCAGTCAATAGGATTTTTGTTTTCTTGAATTGAATTTTGATCTATATTGAAGGCTGTAGCCTTTGATCCTCTGCCAAAATCATTTTAAGTTCTCTTCATTTTCAGCAAGCAAGGTTGTATCAGTTGCATAAGGCAGGTTGTTGATGAGTTTTCCTCCAAGCCTGATGCCACGTTTTCCCTCGTAGGGTCCAGCTTCTCAAATGATTTGCTCAATATACACATTGACTAGGTATGGACAAAGGATACAACCCTAACATATATCCTTCCTGATTTTGAATCTTGCAGTGTTCCCCTGTTCTGTTCTGACAGCTGCTTGTTAGTCTAAATATAGGTTTTTCATGAGCATAATTAAGTTGTTCTGGGATTCCCATTCTTAATATTAGCCATAATTTATTATGATCCACACAGTCATATGTCTTTGTCTAGTCAATAAAACTCACACATCTTTCTGATAGTCTCGGTTTTCAGCCAAGATCTATGTAACATCAGCAATGATGTCCCTCATTCCACGACCTCTTCTGAATCCAGCTTGAATTTCTGGAAGACGTACTGTTCTAGCCACTTTTTAATCACCTTTAGCAAGATTTTACTTGCATATGATATTAATGGCATTCTTCAGTAATTTTCATATCCTTAAAACATTTCTTTTTCAATCAGAACAAATATTTCCCCCATATTTCTTATTTAAGTATAATCACTCACTTATTCACCATTGTAAAGTCAGAATCAATTCTTAGTCGACCCTCCAGCCAGTCTTCAGAGGCTGTAAATTGCATGGAATAAAATGCCCACATTCCTCCTGCACCGTCAGTGGTGGGTTGGGACTACCCTCTGCCTTTTCATTGATCTTTGTCTTTTAGTTAGTGGTGTGACTCCCTACAAAGAGCTCTAAACCCACTGCCACATTTAAGTAGACATGGTTATCAGCCCTGTTTTCCAAATATAGAAAACAGAGACCAGAGTTACTCAAGGACACACAAGTGGGAAAAGTGAGATACAAATTTTTGTGTTTGCAACATCTGTGTTCTAATACATTCCTACAGCTGCACAGGAGAAGTGCAGGATATTACAGAGACAACCTTGAAGAGGTGCCTGACAGACAGCGAGGTACAGTGCTCACCCCCGTGAGGGAGAAGACTAGAGAACAGGAAGGAAAGTGAAGAGAGTGAGTGGCTTTCAGACTCGAAGTCTTCTGAACCCACAATACCCAAGAAGAGGGCATTGCTTCACTTCTCTGAACCTCAGTTTCCTCATTTATAAGATGGAGTAGAATTAGAGAGGTATTAGGGGAAGTTCAAGTGTGAGGCACATACCTCTGAGCCAGCAGACGTCTAGGGGATGGACTTTGAGGGTACAAAGGAAGTGGTGGGGTGACCTGGGTTTGATGACTCATGCAGAAGCATTTTAGATGATTTCTGGGGCTTCGTCTGACATACTTTGGACATGTTGTAAGGAGGGACTGGTCCTTGGAGAGGGATGTCAGGCTTGGGAGGGTGGAGGGACAGCGCAGGAGGGGAAGACCTTCTATGAGATGGATTGATTGAGTGACTTGACTGGGGTAATCAGGAGGGGAGTGTCACAGACAGTGCAATTGGCACAGGATAGAGCAGGGTTTAGGGCTGTTGTACATTGGGTCGCTATGAGTCGCAAGCGACTCGACGGCACATAACAACAACAACAAAGAGGTCTTATGCTGGGGATGGAACTTGTGCTAAGTTCTTGAAGGAATAGGCTGACAGGTAAGAGTGCTGCGGCAGGGACCTCTACGGACAGTCACGTGGAGATGGTGAAGCTAACTGAGGAGAAACAGAGCCAACAAATGAGCTGGGGACAACTTGGCTGTCATCAAAATGGACTCAAATAGTTATTCAGAAAACCCGCTCCGGGAGGGACAGACTTCATCTTTTTTACCACGCTATCCAGAGGCACATAGTGGGAACTCAGTAACTATTTTCAGAAGAAGAAGTAAGTTGACTCTAAGTAGAAAAATAAAGTTATGGAAATGACAACAGCATCTACAAAGTTCTCAAAAACACATTACAAAAAAAAAAAAAAAGAAAAAGAAGAAGTCATGCCAGCCAGAGTGAACATGCTAACTCCTGCCCATTAGCCAGAGTGAAGGAGGGGCCCGAGGAAACGACACACCCTGAGAGCTGAAGCCAGGACTGGGGTGACGGTGAGTCCACCTTATGACTAACAGGCCTCTTCGACTCTCAGACCCCACCCCACATTGTAGCCTCACCAGCTGAGCCCCAGCATCTCCTAGGAGGTAAGGAGAACACGATCGTCCTCTCCACCTAACAGAGAAAGGAGCAACAGTGAAAGAATGGCTGTCAGGACCCCTGCCTCAAGCTTCTCCCCACCTGCTCCCACAGAGCCATAGGGCTCAAAGTCTGTGAGGGAAAACTTCTCAAATATTTAAGGACTGGGCATGGGGTGGGCACTTTGCCAAGCACTGTTTCATTTAACTTGGCAAAAAGTCCTAATGTCTAGTCCAAAAACTTCTCATTGTCTCATGGCCCTTGAGTTGGAACCAACTCATCGCTGACCCTCCAGCAGGTTCTTGAGACTGTAGATGGCACAGAAGGAAACTGTCCATCTTTCTCCCTCAGAGCTGCTGGTAGATTTGAACTGTCAGAGAGCCAAGGCCTTTGGGTTACTAGCCCAGCTCCCTACGGGCTGCGCTAACTATGCTTGGCTCATTGCCACTGAGCCTGAAGTGATTCATAGCTGACTGCTGTCCAGCAGGTTTTTGCAGGCTGTAAATCATGCAGGAAGAGATTGCCTATCTTTCTCCCATGGAGTTGCCGGTGGATTTGAACCACCAGAGAGGTGCCATGTTTGAGTTAGCAGTGCGACTTCCTAAGGACTATGTCACTAGGCCACGCTCCCTTGAAATTGACAAGGGAAAATCTTATAGATTGCAAAAGAATATGATGCATTGTCATTCTCAGGAAGAATCGATTGCTATAGGCGGACAGCATGCTTGGTAGAGGGCTAGCCAGCGTGTGGGGATTGACACAGTATCCACATTGTTGGACCAGAGCAAGCTGGCAAAGGGCAGGATGCTGCAGAACTGGGTACACCAGGACCCAACAGCAGCTATCAAAGCAATTTATCTCATGTGATACATGCAGCAACCCCATTTTACAGCTCCGAAAACTGAGGTTTAGCCCTAGAACAGGACAGGGCTGAGCTGCACTGCCACTCATCAGCTGGGTGCCTTTTCTAAGACTCTGGTGTGTAAAAGTGGGATTATGGTAACAACTGGGTCACAGGCTTATCAGAAGGACTGAATGAGAGAGCGTACAGACAGTGTTTAACACGCTGGGTAGCATAAATGTTAGCCGCTATTACGAGATTGTTAGATTTACAAAGACACTTGAAATTAATAAATGGTCAGCTTGAATAATATTAGTTTGTAAGTGGTCAAGTTGAACTCAGTTTCCTGTCTCACTCTGTGGCCTTTCCACCCTCATTGGCTGCCTCCCTGAAGAACCATATCTGGCCTCCCAGGTCTACCCAGGAGCCACCCGCTGGGCCCTCCCACATCAGGATTGGAGAAGGCCAGCCTTTAAAGAGGCCAGCTGACTGACCGTGTCCATTTCTTTGCAGATACAATGAAGTCAAGAAGAAAATGGATCCCGGCTTCCCCAAGCTCATTGCCGACGCCTGGAATGCCATCCCTGATAACCTGGATGCAGTTGTGGACTTGCAGGGCAGTGGTAAGCTGTCCAGGCCCCTCTCTGCTTTCTAGGACTCCCCTCCCCAAGCCAGGGCCCGACTCCTCACAAGCACACACTCCCTCATTGTGTGGGGGAGGCCCACGGCAGCCACAGAAAAACAAACCATTCCGTTCAGCCTGGTGCCGGGCAGGCATCCAGTCCCCTGACCTCTGCTTCTCAGCCTAGCTTCAGACAGTAAGACCCAGAAAGGCCCCTCACAGCTGCTGGGCCTGGAGCCAGGGAGGGGGAGAGCAGGAGGAGGCCTGGCGGGGGAAGGGGCGAGGAACACGGGGCCTTGTGACCTGGCTCCGTTCTGTGTTTACCCCAGGCTCCTTCAGATTCCACAGGAAGCCTTGTAGAAAGCCCACTTCAAATAGTAGAAGTCTGGCTCCATGTGAGACAGGGCAAACTCAGCTGCTGATGTGGCAAAGATTCCCCATTTAACTCAGTTTGCTCCTAGTCCCTTAGACTAAAACACAGTATCAAGTGAGCGCTAGACTTCGGAATTTGAGGACTATGTTCATTAAGAAGCATCTCTGAGTTCTTTTGCGGTTTTGGAATGAGCCTGGTTTGATTTCTTTGGGGGAAAATTCAATGGAATTACATAAAGATTTCTTTTTAAAAACAAAAACAAAACCCCTTCAGGCGGCTGAGGACTGAGCCTTAACTTCTAGGAGCTGAAGGTCCTAAAGTGCTCGAAAAAACCCCTGCAGTGTACAATTTGGTGCTAAGTTAAGGGCTGTCTTCAAGGATAAATCTCTCCTGAGCACCTACTGTGTGCCCAGTTTTAAAAGAAGTAGGATTGTGTATGACGTACCGTCACGTCAGAACCAACTCATAGTCGACCCTCCAGGTTTTCGGAGGATGTAAGTCACAAGGGTGGAGATGACCCGTCTTCTTCGTGTGGTGTAGCTTGTTGGATTTGAACCGTGTGCCTTTGAGTCAGCAGCACAGGCAGGGATCTCAGATGAGTGAAGCAGGCAGGTGGGAAATAGGGCTGGAACGGAGCTTTTGCAGGGGACAGACTCCGCTGAGTGCTGCCCTGCAAGACTGTGGGCCTATCGCAGTGGTGTTAGGGAGGAGCCAGAATTAGAGGCCTCCTTCGGGAACGCCCAAATGTTTACGAGCTAGTAAGCTTATTCAGGATGAAAACAAAACGAAGCCACAGCGCCACAAACAAACTAAAGGAGCCCTAGAGGTCAGCAGTTCAAAGCCACCCGCTGCTTCTGGGGAAAAAAGTGTGCCTGGCTGCTTCCATAAAAGAGTCAAGTCTAGGGGAGCACAGGGAGGCAGTTCTGGCCTGTACTATATGTGGCTCAGAATTGAATTGACGGCCAAGGCTAAAGCCAAACAAAACTCATTTGTTTTGTTGGAGGCCAAGAAGGGGCAGCAACCTCCCGCTTTGCCACCTCTGTTATGGGTTAAGTGCTTGTGTCAAGAAAGGTGTTGCATTATTATTAACGACAGCACATATGATCTACTTTCATCCCCACCACAAGCCCTAAGCAGTTGATCTTTATCCCTGTCTTAGAGAAGAGGAAGGAGGGGCCTAACAGCTTATTTTGCTACCAAGGCTGCCTCTGTCTGGTTAGGGAGCTTCTTCCTTGTGTCCGTGGACTTTCCAAGCTCCCAGGAAGCTTATGTACCACAATACCTGAGGATGGGGTGGTCACAGCCCCTCTTTTTCTCTGTCTCAGGCTACAGCTACTTCTTCAGGGGACCACATTACCTGAAGCTGGAGAACCAAAGTCTGAAGAGTGTCAAGTTTGGAAGCGTGAAATCTGACTGGCTGGGCTGCTGAGCTGCTTCCAGCTCCTGCAGGCCCGCCCTCTCCACCGCCTTCCCCACCCTGGGCCCCGAGCACCAGGGCAGGACCAGAGGGCAGGACGGGATGGGCCTGGCAGCCCCACCTCCAGCTCTGTATTTGATCAGCTTTGCCTTGCCATTTCCATCTGGTAACTTCAAATTCTACAGAGTGGCCCCACCCTGGGCTAAAGAAAGGTGCTGATTATAACCATTGCAGGTACCCTTTCTTCCTCCAATCCCACCAGTCTCAAGAGCCATCCCCAGAGAGATGCTTCGACATTCTCCACGCAGCCCTGCCCTGGGCTGCTCTGGTGCTGCCCCTACTTCAAGGTCTTCCCCTACACACGCTTCTGTGGCTCTCGGCACCCTCGGAGCCAAGAGAGACCGTCTCAAGTGGCCACTGGTGGCCCCACAGCCTGGCCTGGCATGGGACAGTGGGATAGAGGCTAGGCCAGGTGGTCGCCCAAGACACCTGGCTTCTTAGTGCTGCTGCTTTAGAACCTTCCAGGCATCAGCAGTTCGCTTTGTATGCACTTTGTTCTCTTTTTTGTTTCCCCACTTTGAAATTGCTTTTCCTGACAGAAGGACTCGGGTTGTCTGAAGTCACTGTACACTGCGTCTCGCCCACATAGCGCTGGTTCACTCTACTTAGTGTGTACTTCCTCCACTGGATGGAGGGCAACCAAGCCAAGGCTCCCTGCTCAGCCCTCCCCTCCTGGCCTTTCAACAGTTCCCCATGGGAAATGTCAACAAGTATGAATGAATAAAGACACCATTTGAGTGGCCATTTTTGCCAGCTGTTTTAGGATTCGGGGAGGGGTCTCAGCATTAGCCACAAGAGGAGACTTAAATAGCCTACGTCTGGGCTTCCCTGTAGAGCAGAGATGGTCTGCGCTGAAAAGATAAAAGAAAACCCCAAGCCCCCAACATTGAGTCTCAGCAACCCAAGAGGGCAAATTAGAACCGCTCCGTAGATTCCCAGGCTGTAATCTTTAGGCAAGTCGGGATCCACATCTCTCTCCCATGGTGCGGTTGATGGATTCCAACCCCTGGCCTTGCAGTTAACAGTTAAGAACTTTAGCTACTATGCCACCAAGGCTCCTTCTGAAAAGACCAGAGAGATCCTCAGGTGGGTGAGAGGGAGGCCTTCTGTTCTGGGGAAAGAGTCCCCCAAAGAGCAGCAGTGTTGTTATTTGAGCTGTAACATCCTGTGCAAGGTCCCCTTTCCCTCTGAATTCCCCTTTCTTCATTCCAAATACAGTGACTGCAGGAAGCTGCACTGTAATCCCAGAGATGGGTAGTTCAAATCCACCAGATGCTGGAGAAGGAGGGACAGTCTCCTCTGGAACTTCTACAATGGGCTCTCGTGTGTCAGGAAGTGTGAGGATGGCATGGGATAGGACAGGGTTCAGATCTGATGTTCATTGAGTCGCTATGGGTCATATTCAACTTGACATCACCTAATAACAACATTATCAATAATACTGAGTCTAATGTTACACCTAACAATGACCAGCAACAATAACACCTCCTCCCCATGAAGAGGGCGTGCCTGTGTGTTATTCATGCAAGTGTCCACTAGCCAAAAGGTTGGTGGTTTGAGTCCATGCAGAGGTGCCATAAGAGAGGTCTGGTGAATATTTCTGGAAATCCAGCCATTTGAAACCTTAGGGAGCACAGTTCTTTGACACAGAGGGGTCACCAGTGAGTTGGAGTTAATGGAGCTGTTTTTCGTGCAGTTCCCACCACCAAGTAAAACAGTGTTCACTATGTTCCTGGCACTTTGCTGGTATCTCTTAAGTTAAAGAAAGAGATATTATTCATTGGATTTTATAAGAGCAAACTGAGGACCAGAGCAGTGATTTGCCTAGGGTCCTCTATTATTATATGCCGTGGCATCAGAACTGACTCATAACTGACTCTCTAGAGAGTTTTCAGAGGTGATAAATCATACAGGAAGAGAATGCCCATCTTTCTCCCTTGTAGCATTTGGTAGATTTGAACCACCTATCCTTGAGTTGGCAGTACAACTCCTTACTACTAGGCCACCAGAGTTCCTAGAGGATTTTGAAGCTCCGTCTCACATACTTTGCACATATGGCCAGGAGGGACTGATCCTTGGAGAAGGACATCATACTCGAAAAAGTGGAGAGACAGCGCAGGAGAGGAAGACCCCAGATGCGAAGGGTTGATACAGTAACTAGGACAAAGGAAGTAGGTGTGTAGGAGTCAGTGAGACTGTCGCAGGGCAGGAAAGCCTTCAGAGCTGTTGTACATAGCGTCACTATGAGTCACAGGCAACTTGACGGCACATAACAACAAACAACCTATGTTGTTGTTATGTGTCGTCAAGTTGACCACGACTCATAGCAATCCTATGCACAATAGCTCTGAACTCTGCTCTCTCCTGAGCCAATATCACTGCCCCTAACACATTTACCCTCATTACTCCAGTTACCATGTCAATCCATCTCATTGGGGCCTTCCTGTCCTGCACTGTCCCTCCACCCTTCTGAGCATGATGTCTGTCTCCAAGGACTGGTCCTTTCTTGCAACATGCCTGAAGTAGGTGAGACAGAGCTTCAAAATCCTTGCCTCCAAGGAGCAGCCTGGCTTCACCCTCTCCAGCACAGGCCTTTTTTTAGTTCTCTTCACAATCCTTTGTATGTTCAATACTCTTCTACAGCACCACAATTCAAGGCATCGATTCATCTTCTGTCATCCTTATTCCTTGTCCAGCTTTCTAATGTGTATTAAGCAATTGCAAAGACCATAGCCTGGATCAGATGCACCTTAGTCTCTAGCCTGACATCATTGCTTTTTCTTGCTCTGGAGAGGTCCCTGACAGCAGATTTTCCTAATACAATTCGTCTTTTGATTTCTTGACTAGTTAACAGCCTGAGTCAAAGCAACGGTGACCTAGAGGAGCAGCCTTAACCTCTTGTCCACAGTCTTCCTCAGCAGTGTTGTCTGTGAACATTGCCCAAAGCAGCTCATGTACACACACAAAGGGAAGGAAGGGTGCTTGCTTTCAAATCCAGTTTGTTATAGCAAAAGCTGTATACCTCTTCTTCAAACCAGACCACCACTCCTCAGCCCTTGTTATATAGCAATTCCACAGCTTTTTATGCTTTAATTCCAAAGCTGCTTGCTGAACTAAGACTTAAAGCATGGGTTTTCGAAGGTCCCTTCTAGCTCTGAGTCTTGCTTCACTCCAGGGGCTGGTGTAGAGGTATGGCGAGTAGACAGGATTCTGGTGATGTCCTCAGTGGGCTGAAACACCTCTGGTCCAGTGGCCTGCTCACTAGATCATGACCTTGAAGAATCTGGAGAGACAGCCTTCTGTGCAGATAGCTAGCCGCTAGCTGAAGAGCACAAGGCATGTTCTAGTATCAATTTCAGCACAAAGTAAAGTTGGAGTGCTGCTTGTCTCCGGGAGGGAACTTCTATTATGGCTTTAATGCTGTTATTTAAGTGCTTGGCTGCGAACTGAAGGCTGGTGATTGGGACCCACCAAGGCCCTGTGCTTCTATAAAGATTACAGCCAGTCAACACCTGTCACACGAGGCTGCTGTGAACTTGAAATAAACGACAACCAACAACAAGGGGGTTAACCTGCAAGAAAATCCATTTGTTCCACAGTCTAAAAGTTTCAATATCTCATGGGCTTTCTATGAGCTGCATTTGTATTTTATTCAGTCCCAAAATGCCTCTAAAAACCCTATGAACTTTGATAAATGTTGATAGTTGTAGAGGGGCTTCAAGCCTTTTGTTCACAGGGTCGCTATGAGTCGTGCTCAACTCGAAGACAATCAACAACAACAACCCTCAAAACATTCACTGCCATAAAGTCAGTATGATGAGAAAGGTCATTAGAAACCCTCCATCAGGTTCCCGAGGTTGTGAACATAACAGGAGGACAGTCCTTGTCTTCCCCCTGTAGATAGGCTGGTGGATTTGAACAACCAGACACAGGGCTGTTGGGTTAGCGGTACAATCTGCTACGGACAATGCCACCAAAGCTCTCTTACGCTCTAATACGCTGTCTCTCTTGTTTATTGAGTCAGAACTGACTCCTAGCTGACTCTCTAGTAGGTTTTCAGAGGCTGTGGGAGATTGCCCATCTCTCTCCCACAGAGTAACAGGTGGATTCAAACAACTAGACCAGCACACCACTTTTAGGGTTAGTAGCGTAACTCTTTTAAAGAGTCCTAGTTTCTAGATGAAGAAACACTCACAGAGTTTGAATTATAACACAATTTGATAGGGTTGGAAGATTCCGAGAGTGGATACATGTGGAGCACTTGCTTCTCAATCTGGCCTTTAGTCCTACCCTCTGCACAGAACCGATCAATGACCATTGGTCATTTACCATCCCCCTCCTCTTCTGATGCTCAGCACGTTAAGGGCCTAACCAACCGGTTTCAGGCCCTGGGACAAACCGTTTCTCTTCCCCCATTCATGACCAGACAGGGCTTTAAACTTCCTCAGAGTGAAATGGAACCACAGCCCAAGCAATTCCCTTTTCTCTGGGCCAGGTTCCTCATCTGGGGTGGGAAGCATCTGTTGTTTTTGCCTTTTTTTCTGGTCATAGCACAAGATTCCTTCAAAGAACCATCTACCAGCTCTCAGTCTATAGGTTTCCAGTGGGACATATTTCTATTTCTGGTACTAATTTGCACAATAGTCAAGATTCTTAGCTATGACCAACAATAACTTGATTCTCACTAGTCCAAAACCAAAACATATTGGAAATTAAGGAGATAAACTCTTAACACCCTATGCAGATGACACAATCTTGCTTGCAAAAAGTGTGAGGAACTTGAAGCTGTTGTTGCAGAAGGTCAAAAACTACAGCCATCAATATGGTTTATATCTCAACATGTTGTTGTTGTTATGTGCCATCGAGTCGTTTGCGACTCATAGCGACCCTATGTACAAGAGCCCTAAATGCCGTTCTATCCTGTGCTAACCTCCTGTCTCAACTACACTCATTCCCACCACTCCACTCACAGAATCGATCCATCTCATCGAGGGTCTTCCTCTCCT